GCCCCCCAATTTATGAGGTAGTTGTTTTCCTGAAAAACTCAGAACATCTATTAAAATGAGGCAAGAAAAAAAGTGTTGTCTCTGTACATAAAACAGAATTTAGGTTTAAAATATAAAGGTCACAGAGAATGCATGCTTGCCGCTCTCATAAATTCCCCAAACACCCTTTCTGTGGAGTTAGCCCCTCTAAGGCCCACTGTCACATACCAGCAGACTCTTCTGCTCCTCACCCATTCTGCTTCTGGCAGGTCTCCAAAATCAACCCAGGGCCTCTGCACTAACTGTTCCTCTGTCTAGGAAAAGGTTCCTCCTTCTCCCACAGACCCAGAAGACCCCTGCTTCCCTCATACTCCTTCTCATCCCAACCCTGCTTATTCCCTATCTTCCTGATAGGGCAAACTTGGCACCTGCCCCTTTCCTGTGTCCTGTTGGCCTGCCTTCCCTTTCTGCTCAGTGTCAGGACCCTGCATCTCCACCAGGTCCCACTCTACAATGGGGCCTCCTCTGTCCAGAACTCACCATCTTCCCTCCACTGGGTACCTTCCTGGGTACCCAATGGATTCACCATCAAGGAGAGGAGGAAAAAAACTGTAAAAGAGCACTTACCTGGGTCCTTGGGGATTAAAAAGCAAAAATATTAATAATACATGCCTACAAATACACTTTTCCTAAAAATTAGTTTGTCAGGAAAAACCGATCAAGTCAACAATGAATTTCATGCTGGTTTAAAATTATACATGAGTGGTGCAGCCTGAACATTCCTTTGATGTTCCAGTGAGGAGACCAGCGCTGTGAGGACACTGTCACTACTCAGGGCAAAGATGAGCATCTCACCAATGTCCAGTACACAGAACGGGTGTGTACATGCCTGCTTCCTACACCTGCCCTTAGGTGCCTGCAACTGGGGACTCAATACATTTTCATTGATCTCTTCAAGAATTAGCAAGATCCTGCTATCACTTTGACAGAAGAGAAATGCTAGAAGCTACAATAATTTTAAGCAAAGTTTCACCACCAAAATTGACAAAAGACGTAGTGTTTTAACTATAAATTAATGGATGTGATCAGTTAATCAGGAACTGCATGCTCATCTACAGAGAGAAAATTTCACAGAAAAATACCCTGTTAACAACAATTTTTTAAGAGATATCTTTTGTTCTGAATCCTGTTATCAAATCAACGGCACATGTAATTTTGCCTTCATTCTATCTACTCTTAGTGAATGGTCTAGACAGAATCTTAAAATTGCTTTCTTGGCCATTTGTACCTAAGTGAAACTGATAGGGTACTGCAAAAACAATCTGATACATAATACAAACTGCAAGGTGCTATTTTATACATTATGACTTGCTAGCATCCCTTTTAGGAGCATTACTTACTAAACTCCAATTAAAAACTAATGTTTCGCCCTGGCCAGTTTGGTTCAGTGGTTAGAGCGTCGGCCTGCAGTCTGGTGAGACCTGGGTGTCGTTCCCACTAAGGGCACATACCTCGGTTGCAGTTTGTCTCCGGCCCTGGTTGGGTCGTGTGGGTGGCAACCACTCGATGTGTCCCTTTCACATCGATGTTTCTCTCTCTCTCCCCCCCTCCCACTCTATCTAAACAAAATATCGAAAAATGTCCTCGGGCGAAGATAAAAAAAAAAAAACCTGTTTCCAAGATGCAATGCATGCTTGAACTTCTGAAAATGTGCATGTATCATACCTGGGCCTCCTATTAATTAATGTCTTATACTAACAGTCACCCCTGTGGCCTCAAAGGTGTATAAGAACATTTGAGTCCTAAAAAGAGTCACTCCCAAATGCTATGTGTGTAAAATCTGTTTTCCCTGTCTCTTCCCTGTTTGCTGATAACAGGTTGCCAAGCTCTTATTACCACTGTGTGCAAAAAAAACAAAAAACAAAAAACAAAAAAAAAAAACAGGAAACAAGGGTCTGTTAGAGACAAGGAGGTAGGTTCCTTCATCAGACAGACTCACTATTTCTTTCAACTCACATAAGCAAGATGGGGTAATAGTACTCTAGGTGAGCATCTAAGAGACTTTACTAGGAATAAGAAACTTTGATTTTTTTGTGTGTTAAATATTTTTCCCAGCTAATCAGGTCATCTGTTCTATCTGAGAATTCGGAACATCTTCTAGAATAGTGACACAGCTGTAGTCATAACAGGTGCAGTGCAACTATATTTTAAAGGGTTTCTAACACAAGAAGATAGAACCTAAAAATGAAGGAAATGAGCTGAAACGTTATATGTGTGACCTGAAATTAACACCCCCACCCCACCCCCACCCCCACATCCCCAAGGCTTCTTTACTTGCCAGGAGGAAGGGTTACACCCAACCCTACTAGTTAAGTCAAAATTGTTTCCGAAAGACCACTTCAGATGCTGTAAGAATATCTCCAACACTATCCACCCCAGTGACATGTAAACAGGGCACAAGAGAGTTCTTATCTAATTTTAAGACCTGAAATAAAATTTTTCCTTCATGTTTCTCTCCCATCCACATCTGACAGAAGCACATTTTATTTCATTCTCCTAATTCCACAAAGGTTGGAAGTGAATGTGAAGAATTTGGATAGGACACTGCACAGAGACTGTCATGAATTGGTATGGCAAGCCCAGGCTAGCTGGGGTCTGGATACTTGCTCAGTTGACGATCATAACCCTTAGGAAGACTGACCTTATGTGATCAAGAGTACACTTAAATGCATATGTCCAAGCAACATTTAATTTGGAAAATCTAAAGAAAAACGATTCAGTTCTCTCAAACCAAGTTAAAATACTACTGATGAACTTGCACAGGGTTTTCCCCTTGGTTAGGTTTATTCCTGTGCCCATCTGACTCTGTATTATCACCCCTGTGGTCAATGGTTCACATCAAATTCAACTGAAATCTACAGAGAAGTCAAAATGCATCTTCCTATAGTTTCAAGCCCGTCTCGTCTTGGTAGAAGAAGCTTTGCAGGTTTGCGTTCTTTTCAAATTCTGTAGACCACACAATTTAAAAATCAGAACTGTGCCCAGCTGATGTGGCTCAGTGGACTGAGCATCATCCCATGGAATGAGAGGTCCCGGTTAGATTCCAGGTCAGGGCACATGCCCCGGTTGCAGGCTCAATCCCCAGTGGGGGGCATGCTAGAGGCAGCCAATAGATGTATCTGTCCCATCAATTTTTATATCTCTCTTTCTCCCTTCCTCTCTCTCAAAAAAAAAAAAAAAAAAAATCAATAAAAACATCTTAAAAAATAAAAAACAGAACTGTGAGAAGTACATAACCAGTTTTTGCTTTCTACTAACTTTCTCTTAGTGGTGAACAAACAGCATGTAAGTCATCTGTTATCCAAGCCAACTATTTTAAGTCTTTTTTGAAGTAGCAATTCTGAATACCTGTATCTGAAGATAGCCCTCATAAGAAATAGCATGCTACTAATACACAAATAATACAGATTTACTTTAGAGAGGACATTCCCGGAGACAGTGACACCTGTGAGGAGGCACAACTACGTTCTGCCCATTAGAGAGAAAACTTTTATGTGAAGAAAATAGTACACTCTAACAAAGTGGCCAGATTTGTGGTTAACATACACACACTCAATTACTCTTAACTTTGTACCCAGCTAGCTAGTAACACCATGCATTCAAGTTCTTACAGTTTTGGCTACTCATGTAAGTTGCTCAAAACTCTGAGGACAACACACTTACAGCCCCATGTGTTAGATACCTGGAATTGCCCCAGCAGAGAGCCTCAATGTAATGTACCCCAGCACCTCACACTCCTTCAGACACACACAGCTAGAAATACAAGATCCATCATGCAAAACAGCAGGCAGAACAGTGTTGATAACTAGTTCTAAAACAAGAACTAGAGCTGACCACTGGAACACCAGCAGTGGCACCAACTACACAGCTCTCTACAGTGACTTTCCAAACCATTCCAAAGCGTTTGAACTCCCTCCTCTCCTGCCAATAATTTCTTGTGCAATTCCGCTCAATTTATTTAAAACCGCAAATTCGTGTTTTGAGGCAATGGGAGAGTGCAACCTAGCTCAGACCTCAGAGTGCCATCTGAGTTGACTAGCTAGTATTTTAAGTATTCCGTAATTAATTGGTAAACCTTATTAATAAAGCTACAATTTTACATGCCCTAACCACCTGGATTGTGCAACAAGAACGCGTTAGGGCGTTCTGCTAGGGAGGTAGGTTAAAGACTCACCAGCTTGGAAGCGTGTTCTCATTTCTGCCAACAGGGCCCAAGAAGCAAGCTCAGCGTTGCAGCAAGCTTTGATAAAAGGACCCTGCGCAGGCGTACCCACTCAGACCCTAGGATCTCGCCCCACAGCACAGCCCAGGAACCACCCCACCCCCGCCCCGCCCGTCCCATCCTCAAAGCAAACAGGAACTGGGCTCAAACCCTGGTCACCGCGTGACCTTGGCCGCGTCCCGGGACAAGGACCAGTTTCCTGGTCCTCTAAACTCGCAGAAGGGAGGCGGGGCAGGAAGCGGGGCTTCCTGGGGAGCCCAAGGCCCGGCCGGACTTCCGGGAGCCCGCCCTGGCGGCTCTGGAAGGCTGGGGGCCGTGGTGGGAGCTAAAGGGAGGCTGACCGCGAGCCCGACCAGATCTCGACCTCGACTTGACCCCCGGCGGGAGGCTGACCCTGGTCCAAACCCCCGCCGTGTCTCGACAAGACCTCCAGTCCAGTCCTACGCGCCCGCCTTACTGCGCCTCCGTCCCAAGTCTAGCCTCCACCCCGGCCCCAACCTGGCCTCGACTCTCACCGCCCCGGCTTCGCTTCGGTCCGCAGCACGGCCTCGCCTCGCTTAAAACTCGGCCCTCACCTTGGCCCCGGGCCCTGCCTCGCCTCGCTTCAGCCTCAGCCCCCACCACGGCTCCCGGACCGGCGTGGGCACTTCCAACCCCTCCAGCTGCGGTAGGCAGGGCCTCGCGCAGCCCAGGCCAGCTCCCGGCCCCAGTCCCCGCCGGTCCACGGCCTCCTCCTCACCCTCGGTGGCCGCGGTGCTGTTGCTGCTCCGAGCCAGGCGTTGGTTTCGCTCCCACAAGATGGCGGCTCTGACGGCGGCCACGTCAGTGCCTGCTGCCGCGGGGGACGCTGGGGAATGGGACAGGCCACTGGGGCCCCTCTCACGCCCCGCTGCGGCGCGCACGCGCAGAATCCGGGAACCGGAGTGCGGTGTGAGGGCAAGCCTCGCCCACCGCTGCGCGTGCGCGTTCCACCTCTGCTTGCGCACCCCCAGGGACGAAGTCCAGCGCCTGCGCCGCACATCTCCCGGGAAGGCGGCGTATGGATGGAACCTAAGACTTGTTTCGTGGTTACCAGACTGAGGTTGGAGCAGATCTTGGGATTCCGGAATGGCAGCGGCAGGGTGCCAGACCCCCTCCCCGGCCAGGGGTTCCCCGCGGACGGGCTGCGCCTCAGTATTGTGAAACCGTTGCCACTAGCAGGCGGCTGCCGCAGGAATGGAGTTTCCGGGACGTCCGCCTCCTGGAGACACACTGCGTCCCACTCTGCCCTGTGCGCGTCAGAGGAGCTGACCGCAGATCAAATAAAAAGTTGCCAATAATAGGGGCAGCGCTGCCCCATGGAAGGCCGCTGAGCTATGGTCTGGTGACTAGAAGAGGAAGCCCCCTCGGGGAAGCCTTCCTGAGCTGATAAGAAGGGAGGCGAGGAGCATCACGGCCCTCCCGGTGTTCTCCAGGCTTGAGGCCTGGCTGTGGCCCCAACTTGGCACCTTACTCTGGCATCCCACCCACCTTAGTTCTCTTCTCCTTCTGTTACCTGGGCTTCTCCCTCCCCTCCACCCTCGTGCTGCTCTTAGGGATTCCCTAATCAAGAGGCGTTGGGAAAGTTGCTGGGGGTCTCACCACCTTCATGCCCTGTATGTTGTGGAGGGTGGCAGAACAAAGCCATTACCTGGGCCTTGGCCCAATGGCCTGCCTGACTGGAAGGCCTGTGTTACTGGCCTGGGGAGGAGGTGTGTGTGTGTCTCCTGTCCTCTTTCTGCCCACCTTGCTCATCTGCTGCCCTTGGGCAGGGACCCCGCACTGGGCTTGGGCCGGTGAGGTGGCTGGGACCTCACCAGCCTCTAGGCTAGGGGCTGCTGCCTATCCTCCCAGGCAGCCCTCCTGCCACAAACACTGATGACCTCCTCTCCTTAGAGTCTGAGGGCTGTTGGCCCTATGAGCCAGACCCTCTGGACCCCCTCACGAGCCCCAGTCTTCCCCAGACCTCACCACCTATGTGTTTTGGACCTCGGTCCTGACTCCCAGCATCATAAACACTGCTAGGTTGCTCATGCAGAGTGTCTCAGGGGTCTGTACCTCCAGGGAGGGGCACAGAACCTTCAGATGGTGCTGGCTCCTAGCCTTGGAGAGCTGACCCATGGCCAGTCATCTGCAAGTGCTCATGTATTCTTAGGAACATCCTTTAAAAATGTTTTAATTGTGAAAAATATAGAGAGAAAGGAGCATGTGAAATATACAGATTTTAAAAGAATAATATGGCTTCCTGTGTGTCTGCTGGAAGGTTAAGGGATTTACCTTCCTACTGATTCTGCCTTAGTTTACACCCTCTTGGGGAAAAGGGGCATCCTCAGGCCATATGGGTATGGAGATCCCAGCTGTGACTAACAGAAGATTTTTTAGGGAGCCAGGAATTGCCAGGCAGTTACCTAGGGAAACTGAGGTCCTGGTGCTTTCCTGAGGTTACTTTGGGAGCCAGGACCTCCCAGACCCTAGGGATAGACAACCTGGGGACTCACTGAGTGGGATGCCTGCCCGACTTTGGCCAGGAAGGGATGAGGTGAGCTAGCTAGAGAGCTGCCAGCCCGAGTTCCTCCACTGTCAGGCTAAAGCTCACAGCACCCAGATCCTCACTCTAGCCTGCCCATGTTGGGGAAGTGAGGTGGCTGGGGTTGAGCTCCTCCTCTCTGGGGGTTCCTGAACTTGCTGTCAAGGTATGCTGAACATTAAGTCCCCCAAGGACAGAAGGACAGCTGGAGCAAAGGGGCAGGAGGGAGAGGGAGTAAGAAATGTTACTACTTTCCATAATCCAAGTTGGCAAGCACCTCTGCACCTTCTGTGTACAGCACCTGTGAAGTGGGCAGTGTTCACCACAGGCTAAGGACTCAGAGGGGTTGCAAGCCCATTCAAGGCTACACAGCTAGGGTTGAGCTCCTGAAACTCGGCCCCCAGCATGCCTGTTGCCACACCTTTGCTTTTTCTCTGTCCCGCCCAGCCTCAGGACACTGAAGCTTCTTGGACTCCTCCAGTGACAGGGAGCTCACTATTTAACACTGAACTTCAGCACCTAGTTGCACAACTTTATCCTCTTGAAAGTTTCCCTGGATGGTGGGGCGGAAAGGGGCTCTCTGGTTCCATGTGCTCAGCCACTGCCACATGCTCCTGGCCCCGTTGGATCCCCTGAGCTAAGAGGGGACTGGTTTCTGTCCAGACTGGTGGTTGTGGAGAGGGCCCCTCCCTTCTCTCTGCTGGACCTTGCTCCCTTATTCTCTTCCAGGCCCATTCCCAAAGCCTACCCTCCTGCATTGCCCCTCTAGTGCAGGCTGCAGGAATTATTATGGCTAATTATGGCTGTTCTGACAGCATGGGCCCTGTAAGGGAGCCTGCACAGTCCTCATATAAACACCAAATTTCCCACCCCACCCCAGGGCAGCCCTGCTCCTTGGACTGGGCTGGGGTCTGGGGCCAGCCAGACCTTGACTCCTCTTGCTCTAGTCATGTAGAAATCTTGAAAAAACATGGGCCACCTGTAGCCACATAGCAGTTGAGGGCAGCATGAGGGCCACAGCCCAGTTCCATGTACATGAGAGGCCTCTTTCACCTCAGGGCCCTCAAAGTGTCATCTTTTCCCCCTATACCTATACCTGCCTCTATTTCCCCATCTCGTGCGAGCATTCCTCTTATGATCCCCTGGTTCTGGCCCAACTTAAGGAGTTCCTTCCTGTTCCTGAGACAGGCCAGGACTGTTTTCTGAGCATCCTACTCCCTCTGCCTGTGATGCTGTTAGGGATGAGCAGCTTGGCTGGGCTCTCAGGCACTGTGGCTATTCCTGGAGGGCCAGCTCCACAGGGCCAGGATGTTTGCTGCTTGGTTCTCAGGCTCCCCCCAATACTTGGGTGGATAGCAGGTGAGGCAAATATGGAATGCCCTACTCAGCAGGGCTCACAGGGGTGCTGAAAACACATCTTTGTTTTTAGGAGGACCCTGTAGCTGACATTGAGCATTTCTTTCCATTTGAAATGTAGGCAACATTTCCAAACACTGTGCACAGGACCTGTGATTGCGTCAGTAACAGAAATGTCAGACATTTTCATGTCACATCACAGCTGTTGCAGGAACCATGAAATACTATTTTTGCTCCTCATTCAGCTGAAAGTATGAGGTTGTCAGCTGGCTGTCACCTCCAGTACTGATAACTAAGGCTGACATCCATGACGGTACTACACCCTGTGTCCCCTTCTGTACAGTACTTCCATGTTTCTTGGCCTTAAGGGGATGCAAGTGGAACTCAATCAGCTGAACACACTGGAGGTGTGCAATATGGAAAGTTCTGATCACACTTGGTGCATCTCAGGATTCTGGCCCCTATCAAGGTAATAGAAACTTGTCACCCTAAAGTCACATGCTACAATAGTCAGCTTTTGATAACTGGATATTTTTCTTTGAAATGGTGAGTCTTTTAGGCAGTGATACAACCTTCTGAAAAGGGGCCTCATCTTCTCTATCCTGCTAGGAGAATCCCTAGTGTATGCATAACCTCCCAACTCTGGACACCCCCAACAGTGACCCACCTTCTTGGCTCAGACACTTCCTTCCCACTCTGGGACCTTGGCAAATAGTCAGCCTGCATCCAGTGTAGCCCCTGCTGCCAGCCTCACTCATCATAGTGGTTAGGGTGGGGTCTCTGGGGAGAAAATATCAATGGGAAATGGAGTTGGTTTTGTCACTCATGCTGTGTGGGTCCAAAGCTGCAGCTCATCCCAGCCACCTGGAGAGACACTGAGCCCCTGACCCCTTTGCCTGTTTCCCTGTCAGTGGATGTATTAGTCAGGATTCTCTATGAAAACAGACCAATAGGGTGTGTGGAGACATAAGAGACAGTTGATCATGAGAATTGGCTCATGTGGTTGTGGGGGTCAAGAAGTGCCATGACTGGACATTTGCAGGCTGGAAACACAGGATAGGGGGTGGGTGAGGCAGTCGCAGTCTGAGGATAGGAGAATCAGGAGCTCTGAGGTGTGAAGGCACGCAAGACAGACATCCTTAAGATGGGCACCTGGAGAGCAAATTTGCCCTTCCTTCACCATTTTGTTTTGTGCAGGCCCTCAAATGAGGCCTATCTGCTTTGGTGAGGGCCATGTTCTTCCCTCAAACCACCTAGTCAAATGTTAATCTCCTCTGGAACACCCTCACAGAGACATCCAGAAATGATGCTTTACCCATCAGGCCTTCCTTCAGCGAGCCAAGTTTACACATACAACTAACCATGCCAGCAGTGCTGGGTGGGGCCTGAGAACCTGCATTTATAATAGGTTCTTTTGATTCAAACGCTGTTGGCCCAGAGAACCCTTTGGGTGACATGGGATGGGGATGGACAGACAGCTAGCCTCTTCTGGCCTGAGGCCCTAGACTGGGGGACTCTGCTGGTGAGGGTCTGCCCATGTGTATGGTGTCTTTGTGGATTGGGGTGCAGGTGTTGTCATATTTGAGGAGTCTGCATTTTGGAGGGGCAGAGTGGGCTCTGTAAGGAGCCCCTGGGCACCCCTAGCCCTATCCATGCCAAAGCCTAGCTCTGTGACATCCAGCCCTGAGATGGAGGGCTTACTGCACCCATTCTGCAGAGGTCATGTTCTGGGGCCTTGTCACTTCCTTCCTTCTCGGGCCTCTGGGCACCCATCACTTAGTGCCCAGACCTCCAGCCCCACTTTCCCCTCAAGCCCAGATCCTAAGAGTGACCAGTCCTTGATCCTTTCTACTGGGGACAGATGGCCTATCTTAGAGTCTTGGGACCTGCCCTCTCCATCCCCTACAGAAGAGGAAACCAAAGCCTGAGGACAGAACAGGATGCCCTGGTGTCCAGTGGGGGCTCTG